CACCAATACGGGCGAGGGTTAAACGTGACGAGGCATTTACCGTGGAATAGCGAAGCGCTTAATGATAGGCCAGGTGACGTGGGGAGAGTCAACATCCGAAATAGTTTGTGTCGTAAATCGGATCCATTGAAACTATCGGATACACCTGAAACCACGATACACCTGATACGTTTATTACAATTCATTTCATTCACAATGCACAATGCATGTTTTTCACGTCAGCAGAAAACATGAATAACACGCAACATTTCCGCCTTTTTTCTTCCTCCTTTCAATGTTGACTTATGAGCAGAATAACTAAGAATAATACATTAATAACAGCGACTGAAGGGACGAACCACGTCAGCATTATTTTGTCTTCCACAACGTCACAAAACCTACATAAGTACCTAAATAATCACATCAGACCCTTCCCTCCTCACTCTCAGCCTTTCTCTTTCTTTCTCATTCTCGTTCTTTCTTTCTTTCTTACTCTCTGTCTGTCTCTGTCTCTGTCTCTGTCTCTGTCTCTGTCTCTGTCTGTCTCTCTCTCTCTCTCTCTCTCTCTCTCTCTCTCTCTCTCTCTCTCTCTCTCTCTCTCTCTCTCTCTCTCTCTCTCTCCCTCTCTCTCTCTCTCTCCCTCTCTCTCTCTCCCTCTCTCTCTCTCTCTCTCTCTCTCTCTCTCTCTCTCTCTCTCTCTCTCTCTCTCTCTCTCTCTTCCCGCAGACCACCACCCTAAATAACACAACATAGCCTCGCCCTTGCTGGGTTCCCACCGACAATAGCCTCTACCCAACCGTCCCCTAACGTGATGGGCACATCCGTTACCATAATTTATCAGACGGACCCGGAAATTCAGCGCGAGTGTATTCATCACCAGAAAAAAACACGCACACGCGAGCATCGATCATACACTCCAGTGACGTCAGAGGTCGCCAATGACGTCAGGGGTCGTCTGGAGCACGCGGACCAATCAATAGTGCAGTCTGGGTGTGATGTCATGGAGTGTTCAAAAGAAGGCGTGGCTTATTTTTGGGAGACACTTGTGTGTCATGTGTTAGGTATGTGATATGTGTTATGTGTCATGCGTTATGTGTTATGTGTTAGGCTCAATAACAGATGTAGGTAATGCAGAGCAGACGACGGTCGCATGAAACCCATGGAAATCCATCCTTTCTTGACTGTACAGTGCCCAGTACCCACCTAAAAGCTCAATGCTATGCTATGAAATAGCATAGCATAATATGTCAATAACATGACATTGCATACATTTGCTATGCAATAGCAAATCAAAATGCTAAATGCTAAGTTATCGGCCCACCTAAATGCTCGCTTTCGCCGTTAATCGCTTATCTACTGCAAACCTTTCCAATTCAAACACTGCAACCCTCCTCTGTTCCCTTCCCCGCCCCCAGATTCACCGAGTGCTCGCATACCATGCTTCCCCCATTATCATTATATTATCGTAACAAAACAGCATTGACATCGAGTGCCTAACGGGCACTTCCTGGGACTCGGCGCGGTGTAGAGTAGAGATGTCAATCGGATACCAACTTTTTGGTATACCGATTCCAAACCGATACCAACTTGGTATTTGGTATTTCAGGGCGAATGTATTTGGTATTTTGTTGGTATTATGCATCCTCACTAATGTAAAAGAGCCTGAGAACTTGGTAAAATGCTGGTATTTCCCTCATATTCCCAAGTCGGTTCGGTTTCAATATTTTTCCATTGTGTATTGTTGGTATTTGGTTTCGTATCGGTATTTCCGTAATTGACATAACTATTGTAGAGTCTTCCCGACATATCGTAAGTAATACCCTTACGATATGTCTAAGGGTATTACAATAATAATAATTGGTAATTCTCGCGAACCAATTTCTCACCAACTTCAGAACATTCAGGCCACCAATGAGACATTTGTGAAAATATATTCCTGCCCGGGGCCGGGATGATTCAATAAATGTCACCGAGGTTTTTTAGCGAAAACTCCGAGGGCCGTTAGGCCCGAGGTGCTTTTCGCTAAAAAAGCGAGGTGACATTTATTGAATTCCCGGCCTTAGGGCTGGAAGGTGTTTCCCATACCTGCCAAAAAGCTCACAACTATAATTGATAGTGACGTCAGCAGCCGTGTGGTTCAACGCGTTTAACCACACCCCTTGAACCACACGGCTGGCAATATTAAGGCACTGCATTAAACTTTGAAAAGTGTGGTACAGTGCACGTGCCATTAAAATGCCTGGATGTCTCGATTTAATCATGCAATGTAGCAGGTATGGGAAAGCAGCAATGAACACTTGTAAAAATGTAGAATGGTTAAAGGGTTTCTAGTAGCTACCAGCATACGAGTAATAACGGTTTGAAACTGATGCAACTGATGTGCCAATCTCTATTCTCTACTATACTATTAACATTTCTACCCAGTTCCCAGTTAGTCCCAGGTTCCCCTCTTCTCCCTTGCAATTTGGAGGGAGGGAGCAGGGGGGGGGGGGGTGACAGAGAACCTTTAGGTTCCTTTAGGTTATCTGCACGGCGCCCGCTTCAAACACAATTTTCTCAACTGCAGACAATAAATAGCTGAATTGAATGAACTGAACTGAACTGAACTGAACGGTAGACAATAAATATAGTACACTTGCACCGATACAGCAATCAATAAAATATAGTACACCTGCACCGTATTGAAGACAAGCAATACCGTACACTTGAACTGTATAGTAGACAACTAATAGAGTACACGTGAACTGAACAGTAGGCGATAAATGTAGTACACACGTGGACCGGGGAATTCAATTACCCGATTTTTATCGCCTCGCCCATTCATTGATGGCTGGGAGGGGGAGTTTTTTTGCACGATCGCCCGCGGAGTGCTTGTCATTGAAGGCGTTAGCCATTACTATAATAAACGCATTGTTATAGCTGTGATCGTTAATAGACGACAAATTGACATTTTTCTGTGTAAAGAACTGTTCCCGTTGATGTTGTTCCTTGAAGTGGAAGGTTGGAGGTTGGAGTAAGAACCTGAATGTTGTTTGTTCGATTTCATGACGTTGCAGGAGTCAAGGCTTGCCATTTGCCCATGCCGTTAACGATGTTGTTCATTTGAAATTGACAGTTGTTACCCCTGGGGCACGTCATTGAAGTTTGATGTTCAGCGGTTTTATTGTTGTTCGGTGCATTTAATTGTTGGATGTTGGACCAAAGATCTTGGCGAAAGAAATTCGAAGCTGGAGTTTTAAGCGATGAGTGCGTGATCTTCAGGCTGGTCGCTGGAGTTTGAAGGTTGGAAAATGGAAGTTGTAGGTTTCGATGTTGGAGGTGTATCGTTGCCGTAAACAGTCAGAGTAAGAGTTGGAGGTAATTAGATGGAGCAGACGACTGAGAACACTGCAATAACGTCTGTCGACTAGCTTTTTTCCGTTGGATTCTAATGGCTTCTCCCTGTATGTACCTCCGACCATATGCCTATGCAATTGCATTTGAAGGTCAACGCTGCGACACATTCTCATGACTTTCATGCTCTCAATGATCAGTGCTCCCTAATCACAACCTTTCCACAATATCAGTATTTCCCATTCAAACAATCCCGTTTAAAGTTAAAGCATAAAGTAAAGGAATATAACCCAATCCCGTTTAAAGTTTAAAGTAATATAACCCAAAAACGTTCCCATTGTTTTCCAATTGCTTATATTGTTTATAATTCAATCCCGTTTAACAACCACGTTACAAACCTATCGTTTAACCCGTCATTTAACCAGTTAAACCAGGTCGTTTAGTCCTCGCGGCCGTAACGCGCTTGTCTCGATCGTCACGTCAACAAAAACTACGGGGACTTGTGGTGACCGTGGCGTTTTTCAGTCGCCCCATCGTACTACCTCCCCTCCCCCCCCCCCCCCTCCGGAAGCGACGTGGGGGGAAGGGCGGAGAGAGAGAGAGAGAGAGAGAGAGAGAGAGAGAGAGAGAGAGAGAGAGAGAGAGAGAGAGAGGAGAGAGAGAGAGAGAGAGGGAGGGAGGGAAGAGCTACCAATATCACAGGGGTGCATGGCAGCAAAATGATTCCCTTGGGGTGCTCTACCTTCCAGGTATGCTATAAAGAAGGTCTTTTCTTTAGATCATCTTCAGGTTCTCCCTGGCGATATTCAACGAAGGGGCTAACTTAAAAAAAATTGTCATGAGGTGGACCAATGTGCCAAGCATGGGACGCCGAAAATTGGTATCTAATTTCGGATAAACCTTTTTGGATCTAATATCACCCTGTTGGGCCCAATACTGCCCATGACTATGTTTGTGGATCCAATGCAATCTCTCTGAATCCAATACTGCCTTTCTGTTCCCAGCCCTAGATGATCAAACATTTCCTTGTGGATCCCAACACATTTCCTGACCCCATATAACCTTCCTAAATCCAACCAAAACCCTCTCGCCGTCGGCGTCGGAGTCGCGTCGGCCGTCGGACGTCGTCCGTCTCGGGGCCGAGTTTTGCGACGACCACGCGTGCGCGCGTCGGTCGGCCCAACAGGCCCCAACTGACGAACGAACAAAGGTAGAGCGAGCCCAAGGTTAGCTGCCGCCGCCGCCGCCGCTGCCGCCGCCGCCGCCGGCGTGGTAGCCAAGTTCATGGCCAGATGCGCGCATGGCAACTACGAGTTGTGGCGCTGTGATGAGTTAGAGTTAGAGTGAGTTGGTGGTGGAGTGTGGGAGAGGGTTGGTGGGTTAGTGGGGGAGACTGATGGGGGGGGGAGGATTAGTTGGGCGGCGGTTTGGGGATTCAGAGATGAGAAGTCATGAAATGAACGTTGTGCCGAGTATGAAACTCATGAGATTTAATATCATCGACTCAGAAATCAAAACCTCAAGTAAAGAGAATCCCCAAGTCAGGAACTATCCGGGTCAGGAACGCCTACACGCTGTCCCATGCCAACTCATGGGACATACCAACTCACAAACTCACAAACTTAGTTCAACTAACTCACCATGTGGCATGCGAGTGATTAAGGCGAAAACTCCGGAGTGAAACTCACCTCATGTCATCCAGCGGGTGGTCCGCTAACTCCGTAAAAAACTCGCACGCACTCTCACTCCCGCGCGCAACGTGGAGAAACTCGTCCCCCAAATACGCCAACTCACAGCCGCATAAAACACTCCCGAAAACACTCACGAACTCTTCCCGAAACACTCAGAGTACACCGGGATTTCACGTATTCAAACGCACACCATTTTCGGGAGTCGACGTAACCCGTTTTCGGCGTGTAACACCGTTACTCAGTCCGAGCGGCCATGCGACTAGCGCCCGCCGCCGCCGCCGCCGCCGCTGCTGCGTCCATGGCCAGCACGCGACGGGGAGGGGCGTGCGTGCGACCAATCAGAGGCCGAGCTGAGCCCCCATGGTGCGCGAGTGCGGGCGGGGAGGGGGGAGGGGGGCTCTCATGGTCGCCGGGTGGGGAGGGGTGGGTGGGGGAGGGAGTGGGTTGCGTGAGGGCGAATGGGGTGGATTTGTGGATGGCGGGAGATAGGTGAGGGGCGCGGTTGAAAAGATATGTAGAAATACTTACGAATAAAATATTCCATGATAGAATAACAGCTATGCAAGACAAATAGAGGCGTGATAGAGGTAATTGAGATGAGATAAAATCAAAGTAATGTTTTGGAAGAACTGGAGCTATAACATTTAAGTGTTAGCTACGCAGCTTTATTAGCAAGCGTTTTACCCTTTGGCATTTGGCTTTAGATATCATAGTACTTCATAAACTGTAGGAGACAATAAAAAGTAAAAAATGTCACACTATTAATTAACAAGACTTTCTAGTTAACTGTTAACTATTTATGATGTCTCCTCGTGTTTTACAATGAGGCATGCATTGTTGAGATATAATAATAGATATTTCTTTTTATATCCTCCTATACGTACGTAAAATTTTTCCCAACCTAGTACTTGCTACTTACTGGTATAGCGTTGAAATAATCTGTTCAAGGCTTCATATGGGACCTTCCTGTTCGGTTTGACTTCTTGTGGAATTCAAGAAATATGTGAATTTAATGTGGTATGTGAATTCAATAAAGGTACAATTTTTACGTAAAAGTTAATCAGGACTTTCCCAAATTCCATGTAAGAAACTGGGATCATCACGCCCTGTATGCTAGCACAAGCCAAAGCCAGGGTCTCCGCAGCCATCGGTGGGGGGGGGGGAGGAGGGGGGGGGGTCGTAGGGATCCGTCAGCCGTCTTCCCAATAATTTCGCTTCCTTGATGCCACCCAATGTATATGTAAAGTGATGCATTTTTTTTTCGGTCAGACCTCCCAGTCCTGAGGATCTGGTGGAACCCCAGCTCATAGTTCCCTTCATACCAAAACGACCCAAAACAAATACTTTTCCACACAGAGAATATGACGTACCACTCACAGACATTCACAGGGTATCCACGAACAATTCCCGACCTACAAACCACATAAGACCAGCATAGACCACTGACCAGCAAAGACCGGATAAGACTGCCATAGATCAATAAAGACTGTTTCAGACCACATGAGACACCATAGAGCATCAGCCTGTTACAGGCTACATAAGACCACCATAGATCATCAAAGACTGCGTCACTGCTACAGACCACATTAGACGACTATAGATCAGCAAAAACTGCTACAGACCACATAAGACCACCATAGATCAGCAAAGACTGCTACAGACCACATAAGACCACCATAGATCAGCAAAGACTGCTACAGACCACATAAGACCACCATAGATCAGCAAAGACTGCTACAGACCACATAAGACCACCATAGATCAGCAAAGACTGCTACAGACCAAATAAGACCACCATAGATCAGCAAAGACTGCTACAGACCACCAAAAACTACGATAAACCAATACAAACCACCACAGACTACATTATCTCACCATAGACCGGTAAAAAAATCAACAAACCATCATAGACCCACCCATAGGCGGCGGAACGGGGAGGGCACCGGGGCACCGTGCCCCCCTTTGATTTTAGCATTTTTACACTAGCCCTATGGGCGTTGCACGGAAAGAATAGGACCAAAAGTCGGCAGTGACCCCCCCCCCTTAATTGAAGGTGTTCCGCCGCTACTGGACCCACCTCTCCCCCCGCTCCACCCCGCCCCCCCCCCCCGCCCCATTGCCGCCAGGCGCAGACCGCAGCCATGAGCGGCTGGGCACGGCGCACCCAGTGTAGGGCAGGCCGCACCCAGTGTACCCAGATGCGTGTTGCCGGGCCGGACTGCAGACTGGTGTTGCAACTGCACTGTGCAACGCGGGCCGCCGCCGCTGCAGCATTGAGAGACGCTCCACCGCGAGCCGTCCGCGCGCGCCGCGATGGGTGATGCGGAGTCGATTCCATGGGACTAGCGAGGGAGATTTGGGGTATTTCCCGCTGGTTATAAGACCATCAGGTATGGTTTAGGTCACTTTTTGGTGGAGGTCAGGTCAATGTCAGGTCAAAAAGGTCAAACTTCAAAGTTGATAGTTTTGCATAAAATGGGTATTGAACCGATGCAGCTCGTCACGACGAGTCTAATGGAGGTCTTTGTCTAAATCTAATCTAACGTTAGATTAGATTTAGACTCGTCTAAACCTAAATAAATCTAAATATAACGTGGTCTAGAATTTTTAAAAAAATTGAGCTTGAAAATTTGATGTCATCAATTTCGAACAGTTCTTTTTTTCGTTATAACTTGGCCAAAAAAGAGGTATCGATCTCAAATTTGGTATGTGGATAGAAGGTGGTAGGGACTATCACATACGTTCCGGGGTTTTCGAAATTCAAAAAAACTTTTTGGATTTTTTGCCTATTATATTTAAAAAATACTTCTTGATTTTTGGGGATCAAAATCCAAAATTTTTAAAAATCCTAAAAAGCAGTTTTGTAGCCCTCTAATTCCACGGGCGTAGGAACGTCATGAAAAGTGGGTGGGCCACTCTGTCAAGGGGCCTCCTTTTCCAGGGGGCCTCCTATTTTCAGGGGCCTCCAACTTTTGCCTCGTCCTGCTGGCTGCTTTCAAGTATGACCTCCAAATCTAGCTTCTGAGATCGGGCAGATGTACCCAGAGGCCAGGGGCGTAACCGCTTAAGCGAACAGTGCGGAAAGTCCGCACCATTTTTAAAACTTATCCCCCTCCGATTTTTTTTTAGAATCTATTTGCCGCAAACGGCGCATGACCCCTGAAAGCCCTTACACAAATGTCTTCCTTGTTTCCCAGGTGCCCCCATTAGCTTCATAGGCGCCCTCTTTGGCATATAAGCGCCCTATGTATAGTCATCAGAGACATCCCTATATGTCTCTGTATCCCCCCCCCCGTTGTCGCATACAATGTGCGCTTATCATAGGCGTCTCTCTTTTCTGGACACTTGAAGGCGCCTCTCTTTGCCATGCCAGTGCCCCTGTTTCTTATGAATGCACCCCCATGGCATTGATCAATTGCAGTCTGCAGACCTCTATTGCATGTGGACGCCCATATATGTAGGCCGCAGAGGCGCCCCTCTTTCGCATTGAGGCGCCCCTATGGGCTTCATAGGCGCCCCTCTATTGCACGTAGGTGCCCTCCTGTCTCAGAACCGCTCCCCTTTGGCATGCAGACGCCCATCTTTCGTACGGAGGAGCCGCTGTGGTTCTTAGAGACGGCATGGTGCTCCCAGACGCAGATGGGGCTCTCGGAGTCGACAGTGTGGGACCTTCAGTCGCTGATGGGTGCCCGCCAGATGTGGACCCTCGGAGACGCCGGTATGGGGCCCTCAGAGATGCCGGTATGTGACCCTTAGAGACACCGGTGTGGAACCCTCAGATACTTCAGTGTGAAGCCCTTACAATTGCTGGTGTGGAGCTATGAATGCGCTGGCTTAAATCCCTCAGAGGCCGGTACATGGACATTAGAGCTCAGTGGGAGCTTGTGTGGTGCCTTCAGTGGCCTTGTGGAGCCGTTAGACATCAACATGGTGCTCTCAGGAGCCGGTGAGTCCTCAGAGTCACCGGTGTGGGGCCTTCAGAGCTCCGAGATACTGGTGTGGGGCCCTCAGAGGTGTCGGTGTGAGTCCTTCAGATGTACCTATAGAGCCTTGAGATGCACAGGTGTGGTGGCACACAGAGGCGCCGGTGTGGGGCACCCAGAGCCACCGATATAGGGCCCTATGAGACACGTATGACCCTCAAAGGCGCCGCTGTGCGGCGCTCATAAACACTGGTGTGGAGCCATCACAGGCGGATGTAGAGCCGTTAGAGGCCGGAAAAAGCCGTTAGATGCCTACAAGGAGCCTTCAGAAGCCGGCGTGGCACCCTTATGGGGATGTGTCTACTTAGGAGCCCTTGAGGTGCTCTCATGAGCTCTGTGGGGCCCTACCGAGCCGAAATATGGCCACGGCCAGTTGACGCCGCATGGCTCTCTCAGGGGCCTCATCTGCCTAGTTTGAATAGAAGGGCCTCTCAGACCATCAGTCTCATGGGCCTCCTCTGGCTAGTATAAATAGAAGGGCCTGTTAGACCATCAATCCTAGGGGCCTCCTCTGGTTAGTATAAATAGAAGAGCCTCTCAGACCATTAATCTCAGGGGGCTTCTGTGGACAGTATAAATAAAAGGGCCATTCAGACCATCAGTCTCGGGGGCCTCCCTAGAAAAGTGTAAATGTGGATAGAGGGCCCCTCAGATTCATTAGGAGTGGACCTCTCTGACTATCAGTCTCAGGGGCCTCTTGTGGCCAGTATGAATATAAGAGCCTCTCAGACCATCAGTCTCAGGGGCCTCTTCTGACTCGTGTGGATAGAGGGCCCTCCCAGACCACCGGTTTCAGGGGCCTCCAGTGGCCAGTTATATGAACAGAAGGGCCTCACAGCCATCCGCTTCGGGGGCCTCTTCTGACTGGTGTGAATATGAGGACCTCTCATACCATCAGTCTCAGGGGCCTCCTCTGCCTTGTGTGAATATAAGGGCTTCCCAGGCCATCAGTCTCAGGGGACTCTTCTGACTGGTGCCGGATTGAGGGACCTCCCAGACCGAAAGTTTTGGGGTCTCCTGTGGCCAGTATGAATAGAAGGGCCTCTCAGTCCATCAGTCTCATGAGCCTCTTCTGCCTGGTGTGATCATAAGGGCCTCTCAGGTCATCAGTCTCAGGGGCCTCCTCTGACTACAGTGTAGATGGATAGGCCTCCTCTGACTAGTGAGGGTAGGGGGCCTCGGCTAGACCGCCAGTGTCAGGGGCCTATTCTGACTAGTGTGGATGGAGGGGCCTCCCAGACCACCAGTCTCAGACCTCTGACTAGTGTGGATAGAGGGGCCTACCAGACCGCCAGTGTCAGGGGCCTCC